AGACTTGTGGACTTCAACTCCCAGAATTCTCCAGCTGGCTGGAGAATTCTGGGAGTTGAAGTNTCTCTCTCTCTGTCTCTCTCTCTGTTTTCCCTCTTCCTGGATTCACTCAGAAGTTTTTTAAATCCCCCTCCTTTGCATACACACTCCTTCAGCCTCTCTCTCTCTCTCTCTGTCTCCCCTCTTCCTGGATTAACTCCAAAGGTTTTAAAATTGCCTCCTCCTCCTCTTCTTCCTCCTCCTCCTCCCTCTCTACCTCTCTCCTTCTCTCCCCCCCCCTCTCTCCTCTTCTCCCCTCTCCCTCCCCCCCTCTCTCTCCCTCTCCCTCCCTCCCTCCCTGCCTGCAATCTATCTGGGAATAATGTGGACAAAATGAAAATATAGATAGATTTGTATCTAGATCTCAAAAAACCTGCAATATGGCAATGTGAAGATTTCCTTCTTATTTCAACCAATGTTCAGAGCGATACAAAGCTTTGACATAAATAGCAACAGGTTAGGTAAAGACCCAATGTAGTTGGGTCTCTATGCTGCTGAATCAAAACAGTTACAACATATTATTTACGTGTTTCTCATTCTTACACATTAGTATGTCAATCAAGATCACTTTCAACAGTTTGCAATAGTATGTAAAGTCAAAACACCTGGTGCATTTCAAATTAAAATAAAATATTAAAAGCCAGGTTTCATAAGGTGCCTGGAATGACATTGGGGAATGTCCTCAAAAAACAAGTCCAAGGAAATTGTAGGAGAACTTAATCAGTAAGTAGGATGATCCAGTAGGAAAGACCACATGCTCTCCAGCTATGTGGAGCTTTACCAGAACTTTGACTTCCAACCAGAAATAATTTTAAGGTCATTTTCTTCTAGTAAGGCGAAAAGTTAAAATAGCAGCCAAAGCTGATAAAAAATACTTAGGCTTTTTTTTTGGGGGGGGGGGGGTTGGTTGACAGAAAACTATAAGAAAAGTTTTGTTTCCATTGCCAATCTTTATCCTGCTTTCTTTCAAGTTGCCACCAGCCACTTGGCTTGCGTCCAAAGCAACGTTGGTTGGATGCAGCTTCAGGCTCCCTTGGATAAGTCAGAAAAACTGGAGGAAATATTTCAATAGCCGTACAGCTAAGGACAATCTAAACCAGTCGTCTCAAGGCCTGAGGCTAAGCTGAACACGATATCCTGGGGATATTGTGTTCGGAAAAATAATCTGGCCAAGAACAACATTTTCTTCAGGCCCATACTTAGTTCACCTTTTTAAATCTTCAAACCCATAAATCATCATATTTCCATCTTTTCAAAACTAAGCTATATTTTATTAAACCTGATCTAGCCCGTTCCCAACAGAAGGAAGACACTCGAGGGAACAACATTTCAACCTGGAAAAGTTTCAGATGTGAGTGTCATCATACTGATAGAACACAACTCCAAATCTTCTCATAAAGTTTTCTAGAAGTTTCATGGAAATATTGAAAAGCTATGGAAACACAACAGAGCTCTGAAGACACCAGATACCAATTCCCATGCCTCCAAGCCTCCTGCTTCCAAATCTCTCAGTAGATATAAAATATCAAAACCCACTAAGGGCTAACTCAATCGCATACATGCATTTATAACAATTCTTCCCATACAGTCCCAAAGATGTATGGGACTTGTATAATTGTATACAAGTCATGGTGGGATGCAACCAGTTTAACAACTGGTTTGGTGTGCACGCGCTGCGTTAAAAAAAATGCCCATTTTAAGCTTAAAAACCTACCTTCTATGTCAGCACCGGTGAGTAAAACAGCTGGCCCATGTCAATCCGCTGTGCTGCACAAATCAGCTGAGCTAAAAAAAAACAGGCAAATATAGGATAGGGAAGAGTAGGGGCGGATGGACGGGCCTACTGCTCATTGGAACTACCGGTTCACCTGAACCGGTCCGAACCAGCTGAATCCCACCCCTGTATACAAGTTGTATACAATTATACACGTTGTATACTTGTATAAGATGTGTGGGATGTATAATTTCATGGTAGTTAGAGGCTATCATTAAATTAAAAGATGCTTGCTTCTTGGGAGGAAAGCTGTAGCATATTAAAAAGCAGAGACATCACCACCTTGCCAACAAAGGTCTATATAATCAAAGCTACAGTATGGATTTCTCAGCAGTCATGTATAGCTGTGAGAGTTCAGCCATAAGGAAGGCCAAGCACCAAATAAGTTGTGCTTTCAAATTATAGTGTTAGGGAAGACTTTTGCAGGTGCCTTGGACTACAAGGTGATCAAATCAGTCAATCCTAAAGGAAATCAACCCTGACTGTTCTTTGGAAGGGCAGATACTGAAGCTGAAGTTCAGGTATTTTGGCCATCAAATGAGAAAGGGGGACTCATTGGAAAAGACCCTGATGTTGGGTAAGGTTGAAGGCAAAAGGAGAATGGGATGGCAGAAGATGAGATGGTTAGAGAATATCATCAACATAGTGGGCATGAGTTTGGGCAAACTCCAGGAGACAATCAAGAAGGGGCCTGGGATGTTATGGTCCATGGCAGGGGTCCACAACCCGCAGCTCTGGAGCCACATGTGGCTCTTTCATTCCTCTGCTGTGGCTCCCTGTCGCCAGTCGGCACCACAATTTTCAGAGGAGCTTTCAGTTTGGGGCGGGAGCAAGGTGCGCCAGGAGGAGACTCTATGGCAAGGGGTGGGTTTTCCGGTCAGCTCCACAACTGATAGGGTTTTCATTTAGGACAGGTAGAGGAAAAAGTAGAGGACACTGTGCTAGGAGGAGACTCTATGGTGGGGAAACCAGACTTCCGGTCGGCTCCAGAATTGAATGGGGGGGGTCTTCTGGTTATGATCTTTGTGGCTCTTTGAGTGTTTAAACCATGGTCCATAGGATCATGAAGAGCAGGACATGACTTAACAGCTGAACCATTTTGTTATTATCAAACAGTCCCAAAATTTGGCACTATCCAGTTGTATTGATTGCAATTTCCATCATCCTCAGGCAGCCTTGATTGGTTCTGTGCCATCAAATAATTATAAACTCCTAGGGACCACATATTTAGATTTTCTCCATTAACAACATATCTTTAACCTGTTTTTTTTTCAAGTATCCTAAAGGTGCACTGATCAACACCATAAATGAATCCCTTCACCTTGCTGCCGGTCATCCTCTTCTTCTCTTTCCTTCCACCTTTTCCAGCATGAGAAAATTCCTTTTCATGAGATCAAGCAGCATAGGCAAGCTGAATGACTGTTCCAGACTAGGAATGCGAGACTCCAATTTCAGTTCCCTCAGTCAGCCACGAAGCTTTGCTGGATGACCTTCAGCTGTCAAATCATAGGATAATATCTCTTGCAGGGTTGTTCTGAAGAAAGAATGCAAGAGACATCCAAGCAATATTTCTTTCCTGAGACTCTGTGACCAGTGACCTAGATCAGTGGTTCCCAAACTTGGCAACTTTAAGACTTGTGGACTTCAACTCCCAGAATTCTCCAGCTGGCTGGAGAATTCTGGGAGTTGAAGTCCACAAGTCTTAAAGTTGCCAAGTTTGGGNCGCATATATGTGCTAGGCATTCCCGACTCTAGGGAGCAATGCTCATCTCCGTTTCAAAGCTGAAGAGCCAGCGTTGTCCGAAGACGTCAGTGTGGTAATGTAGCCGGCTTGACTAAGTGTCAAAGGCACGTGGAATGCTGTTACCTTCCCAGTTCCCACCAAAGGTGGTTCCTACTTTTCTACTTGTATTTGTACGTACTTTTGAACTGCTAGGTTGGCAGAAGCTGGAACAAGTAACGGGAGCTCACTCCGTTAAGCGGCACTAGGGATTCGAACCGCCAACTGCCGATCTTTCTGATCAACAAGCTCAGCGTCTTAGCCACTGGGCCACCACATCCCTGTAGACATGGTTTTCAGGGGCTTTTAATATCAGAGAACTTGTGGCACAGTTGTATTTGGTGCTTTAGAGTTGGCACAACATTCTAAAAACGTCAAATTCTAAAAACACAAAAGGAGAAATAGGAGAGAAACCCACACTGATTTTTTTTTTGTACAAACACGCACAGTGGTCACCTACACATTGCCAAAATAATGCATTACATTGGCAGAAGGAGACACAGCATGAAATGTGCTTGATTAACTGAAATATTGAAATACAAATTTAAGAAACATTACTGTAATTTAAAAAGGAGGAAGCATCATGGAGAAAACTGGCTGAAAGGATTTTAACTACAGTATTCAGTCTGCTGCCTAGAGACCGACTGATTGTGGACGTGCAAGTGAGGACAAGCAGCGTTTATTAAGGAAGTTATATTCTCCAATAGAAATCATGTATTTGTGTGCTTTTTGTCTTTATGGTGGAAGAAAGAGAAAGACAGGGATCAGGTTAGGCAGCCAAAAAAGCCAAGGCAATCCTAAATTGCATTGACAGAGGGATATAATCAAGATCAAGTTGATGTACTAATATCACTCTATACAGCCTTAATAAGACCATACCTAGAATACTGCATCCAGGTTTGCTCACCACGCTATAAAAAAATGTTGAGATTCTANTGATATGCTGACTCTGTACACCGCTTAGAGAGGGCTGAAAGCCCTATGAAGCGGTATATGTCTAACTGCTATTGCTATTGCTATTGCTAACTGGCTGAATACCACCTCTGAAACATGTTGTCTTGTAATCTCAGATTACTTTATATGCCATGAACTGTGACAGGTCTTCATCCAATCTATCACGTTAAGTAGGCTACCTTTCCTCAAAGTTCAAGGTGGCATAAACAGTCTCTCTCTCTGTCCTGTTTTAACATGACCACAAGCTAAGATAACTAAGACAACACAGTGATTGATTCTCAGTCACTGTTTACTTTATTACTAGAGGAATAGCTAGACTAATTGCTACTGACTGTGCTTAATTAGTCAAGGAAAGCTCAATTGAGGTCTTTAATTGGTGACAGCCCCAATAATAGCTACTGTATTCACATCTTTTCCCAGCATCTTTGAACTTTCTTTTTCCTCTCTTTATCCAGGCAGGAAAATTTGATATTATTCCAACAATGACTACTATAGGTTCTGGGATTGGTATCTTTGGAGTGGTAAGTGCCTAGTTTTTTTTTCCTGTTTCTATATTTTTCTGAGATCTTAAGATTTTACTTACAGTTCATAAGATCCCTAAAACCTTTGCAAATCTCATAGAAGTCCTCTTCGAAACTTAGCATGCAGGATTCTTGATATTCTTATCATGCCTAAGGTTGCCCATGTAACATTGCTACTATGGAAACTGCATTGCCTGCTAATTAACCCTATGGAGTTTTAAAGAGACAAGCACAGCTTTAAAACCTAGGTATCTCCAAGATGGCCTGCTCTGAGTAGAATCTGCCCATCTGGTAAAATGCCACCACCCCGCCCAAGCAGGAGACCCTATCTACACCATTTCTGACAAATGGCAGTCCAATCTCTTCTTGAAAGTCTCAAGTGATGAAGCCCCCACAACTTCCGAAGGCAACTTCTGTTCCATCGGTTGATTGTTCTCATTGTCAGAAAATTCCTCCTTATTNAGCTAAACCTCCAAGTTTATCTAAAGTTTATCCTCTAAAAGGATGCAAATGACCAGCTGTCTGCAAGGAATATAAATCCTTCCATTCCCCACCATCCAGTCAGAGCTAAAGAAGCTTCTTGGATGAGAAGTGAAACGTCTTCAAAGAAAAAACAAGAAAGTCCAGTTGCCTCCTGAAAAAGCACCTTTGGGATTGGCTCTTGAGTGTGTTGAGATCCTTGACATTGATTTGGCAGATTCAAATAATATTCCCTATCTCTCTTGTCATTTGGGCCCGAAAAGGTCTAGAAAATGGCCTAGACATTGGTATTTGAACATAGATATTTTTAGCACTTATATTTTGTTGTGGTTTATTAATCTAGGTGAAGTGTCGATTATATGTTGCTAGTCTATGTATGATATGCCATAAATGAATGAACCTCTTTCCCATTTTGTGCTCAGATGGAGTACACAAACAAATCACAGTTTAAATCTAAGTGGGATTATACTTGATTAGTATTTGGAATAGACTGCCAGAAAATAACAGGCCTTAAAGTTGGATTGAGAAGTTGAAAGAAATGTTCTGAAATTTGCCAAGAAAACTTCATGGACAAATCCAGAAAATCACCAAGAATTTAGGCGTTAAGGAGATGAGTTCACCCTAAATGAAATTTCAACTTCACCTTCTATTAGATGCCTTTTTCTCTAAGTAGCCTCAAATATTCTAAGCAACTCATGAACAAAAGCTATTGTGGTCCTTACAAAAAGTGCTGCTTCTGTTTGGACAGGGTGGCGTTGTTGGAATCACCATAAATTGGGACTGTGACCTTGACTGGTCTCTGAAATACTGTGTACCTGTTTACAAGTTCCATAGGCTTTACGATGAAGACAGTAACGTCTCGCCAGGCTATAATTTCAGGTATGTATTGATTTTTGTGGTTGTTTCATTTAGCATACCACATTTCAGCTAGTATGAAATGAACAAGGAAAGAGATATCAGGGGAAAATGAACGAGGAAATAAATATCAGGGAATTAAAGTCAAAAGCCAGAAGCCAGGAAGTCCAATGGAAATTTAGGATTTAACCTGGACGCTTTGCTATTTCATCCTAGGTGAATTGAGTGACTTTTTGAGAGCATAAGGACATGCCATTGTCTAGAAAACCCAAACTAGTAAGCATGAAGAAAACAGCACACAAAGGAATGGATTATTTGCATAAGGCCTCCCTCAACATAATCTCTATTTGCAGTCTCTGGACATTTGCTTTAAAAAAATAAGTAATTGTAATATATGTCAGCCTATATTCTCCATACTTTAGAATGATACTTGCTAGTTAGGTTTGGAAGTGGAAATTCTGCTCCAGCTCAATTACAGTAGACCTGCACCATCCTGTGGCTTGCTCAGAACACTGCATGCACATTTGGTTACATTGCATTTGCTACACATGTCAAAAAATCCAGTGATTCTCAATGTGTTGGGGATCCTTAAGACCCTTTCAGGACTTTGCAGAATTAAATAGTTTCAAAATTACTCAGTTTTACTTAGTAATATAATAAATATGAATGGAAAAACCCAGCTAACCACAGCTTTTTAAGGTCCCTAATCAGTGGTGAAATTCAATTTTTTTTACTACCCGTTCTGTGGGTGTGGCTTGGTGGGCATGGCAGGGGAAGGATACTGCAAAATCTCCATCCTCTCCCCACTCCAGGGGAAGGATTTTGCAAAATCTTCATCCCCTCCCCACTCCAGGGTAAGGATATTGCAAAATCTACATCTCCTCCCCAATTCCAGGGGAAGGATATTGCAAAATCCCCCTTCTGGGGCCAGCCAGAGGTGGTATTTGCCAGTTCTCCAAACTACTCAACATTTTTGCTGCTGGTTCTCCAGAACCTGTCAGAAGCTGCTGAATTTCACCCCTGTTCCTAATCATTTTTAAAAATGTAAAGAAGTTCTGAGACTGAAATGTTTGAGAATCACTAAGATAGTATATCTTTTCGCTTTGTTGTTGTCAAAATTTTGATTTTGATTATAAAAAGATTGCTCTAGTTTCCATCTCCCCTCACCCCAAAATATAAATGGGCTGGTTAAAAGGCAAACCTCCCGCCACAATAATATTGACAACTAGACAACCCACGATTGGTTGGATGATGTTTTATTTACCTAAATAAAGCAACAGAATGGCCAAGTCAAAAAAAGCAGTGGGAGCAGAATAATTTTCCAACTCCCTATCTGCTTGACTATGGTTGACCACTCTCTGCCAGCCAATGGTGGGACTGGTCTATCCAGCCTCCAGAAGGTTATGGCAGGATCAATCTATGGATCAAACATGAGCCAAAGTGGTGCAGTGGTTAGAGTGCAGTACCGCAGGCTACATCAGCTGACTGCTAGCTGCAGTTTGGCAGTTCAGATCTCACCAGGCTCAAGGTTGACTCAGCCTTCCATCCTTCTGAGGTGGG